GCTGAATCTAACAAAGAAAACAATATGGAGAAATGGAAAATCATGGTCTTAGGCTGAAAAAAAAATCAACTTCACAAGATTGGGGAAGGCACAGAAGGAAAAGTTCCAGGGGTTTTAGTGGCAGTTACTAAAGTGAATATAAATAACCTTGGGCTGCCTTGAGAGACAGAGTTTCCAGGAAAAAGGATGTGATGGCAGTCCCCCTGTATTCTGCCCTGGTCAGACTTCATTTGGAGTATTGTCCTCAGCTCAGAGCACCGTGGTTTAAGGACACTGATAAACTGGAGAGGAGGCAGAGGAGGGTAACTGGGATGGTGGAGAGGTTGAAGGAGTTGGGCCAAAAGAAGAGACGACTGGGGGGAGTGGTGTCAGAGTGGGGAACATTGAAGCTACTCTCATGCTGAAGAAAGATTTGACTTGTTCTGTTTGGCCCCAGAGAGCAGAACTTGAAACCATGGGTGCAAAAAGGCAACTACAGGCTTGGTGTCGAGGAAAAACTTCCTAACCTTTTGAACTGTCAAAAAAGGGAATAGGACGGGACAGCCAGGTGGTGCAGTGGATAGACCACCGGCCTTAGAGTCAGGAGGACCTGAGTTCAAGTCCAGCCCTCGATTGTGTGATGCTAGCAAATCACTTAACTCTGATTGCCTCCCCCCCGAAAAAAACGGGGAGGAAAATAAGTTTTCGAAGGTCCTACCTCACCAGAAGTCTTAAGCAGAGGTTGTAAGAACATTAGGTGGGCATAAGGGTAGATAGAGCGGACAGAGCTCTAGACATGGAGTCAAGAAAACTTGAGTTCAGATTTCACTTTACTAGCTATGTGACCCTAGGCAAATCACTTCTTCTCTGTCTGCCTCAGTTTCCACATCTGTAAAATGGGGATAATAATAACACCTTCCTCCTAGGGCTGTTGTGAGGGTAGAATGACATAATATTTATAAAATGCTTTGCAAAACTTGAAGCACTACATAAATATTGTTGTTGTTGTTATTATTATTATAAATATTCCTTTCAGGTATAGGTTGGACTAGTAGCTGAAGTTCTTTCCTACTAAAATTCTGTGATTCAATGATTTTGATAGTTAACCTGCCAGGCAAAGCACTTTGACCAGAGACACAGTTATATAGATAGATGAATTCCTGCTTTAGAATAGCCTGGGAAGACATGGGGATGGTTTAGAGTTGAAGCATTCCTTCCTTCATTCAAGAGTATTTACTGTGCTATAATTGACCGTGACACCACGCTGGATGGCTCTCAGACGGCTCTAAGTTCTAAAAGTATTACATTGGGATGCTAGCTGAAGAGCATCCAGCCTGTCCTGGGATTAGAGCTCTTGGAGCAAAGGAAATGGTGGAAGATCAAGGTAGGCGTGTGGAAGGGGCGGGGAAGGGGGGTTACCACAAACAGAACAGCTGTTTTTATGAAATAGTTTTGTTCATGCCTCATACTTATGAACTGTCTGGTGTTCCAATATTGCACCTTTGTCACCTATTATGGAAAAGTTCTTTTGTATTGTTGAATTTTAATACAGCACTCCTAGTTTTAGCAAGAGTTCCCCCCCACACACCCTACCACCATTTGTTATCAAGGCATTCAGATTTGTAAACTGTATCTCATTCCAACTCTGTTCTATAAAGAATAGAGACTATTTCTGTATAATGGAAAAGTGCTTTTGTGTTATCAAGTCTCCACGACTCATCTCATCTGTTTAAATGGCAATCATTTTCATATTTGGCATAGAGAGAGAATGGCATGGAATGTCTAGGAGAGTGCCTTATTAAAATAAATACTTAGAATATAAAATCACTTTTCTTGAGACACGATGACACAGCAGGAAGAATCACTAGATTTGGAACCAGAGGACCTGGGTTTAAATCCTGACTATTCCTTATTACCTGTGTGATCTTGGTTTCAGCATGTATAGAAAGAGGGGACTGGCTGAGGTGGCCTCTGAGATGCTCTCACGGTATATGACATGTGAGGTCTCTTTCAGTTCTGAATGGGCATTGCTGGGTCTTTTTCTCAGAAAAAAAAATCACTTTGTCGTCATCTCTATGGGAAGCTGAGAGCCCTAGACTCTTCCACTGAGGGATATAGACAAAAGAGAAGTGAGGCTTCACCCTCTACTCTCCAGAGCAGGGAAGCAGTATTGCTTCAATGTGCTCTGGAGGAGAAAATCGTGAGATCCGCATGCTGCTGACCAAGGTTGGCTGCCTCCTGCCCTCGGGAATGGGATTTCCTTGTGGCTAGGTGGGTGACAAAGAATGGGCTGCTATTATTCTTGGTTTTGGCCTTTCTGGCTTCTTTGCCATAAGACCAGAAGAGCCCAGGGTGTGGCAACTAAAGACAAACACCACCAAGGTGATCGAGACACTGGAGCAGAAACCACGTCTGTAGTAGGTTAATAACAGCTAAGACATATAGCACTTGCTATGTGCCAGACACTGTGCTAAGCACTTTATAATTATTATATCATTTGGTCATCACAAAAATCCTGGGAGGTAGGTATTATTTTGATCCCTATTTTACAAATGGGGAAACTGAGACAAACAGAGGTCAAGTGACTTGCCCCAGGGTCACACAGCTGGTAAGTGTCTGAGGCCAGATTTGAACTCAGGTCTTCCTGACCCCAAGCCTGGCCCTGTCACTGTCTCACTATCCACTTAACCGCTTCGCTGGAAGATTCCAGGTCTTGAGACTGGCAGCTATCGGGAGTTGGGGAGGGGGAACTGGTTTCTGTCTCTACTTTTCCCCTTCTACAATCTGTTATCCTGAGATGGGACCCTGGACAGATCCCCTTCCTGGATCCCTTTTGGGCTGTGTGTGTTTCAGGGATCTCTTTCCTCTCCATACATATCCCAAGAGTAGAATCAGGAAATATACTGAAAGCAAGGGATAGCTATGGGCAGATAGCTCCATATAGGAATACTTGATCTATTTCCTTCCATTTTTGCTATGTTCAACAAATTATGCAACCCCAATGTTTTAAAGTATCTGAGCCATGTATGCGTGTGTGTGTGTGTGTGTGTGTGTGTTTGGGGGGATGACATGCTCAGAGAGAACAGATTACGGGTATGTAATGTTGTATACACAGTCAGGAGTAGTTACTGTGCCCTTTGATTTTTGCTTTTGTCTGAGTTGCCCAGGCTGTGTCCTGGGCTTTCTTCTTGGTTCCTTCTACACTATCTTACTTGATGGTCTCAGTGGCTCTCATAGGTTCAATTATCATCTCTGTGCAAATGATTGCCTGTTCTATATAGCCAATCCTCGTTTCTCTCTTGAGCTACAACGCTGTATCACATCTCAAATCGGAAGTCCGGCAGGAATACCAAACTCAACAAGGCCAAAGCAGAACTCGTTCCTTTCATGCCCTCCCCCCAACCCTACCCTCGTCCCAATTTCCTATTACTCTCAATGACTCAGGATGGTAACCTCAGTATCATCCTCAGTGCCTAATTCATTAGCCCCACGTAGCCAGTCTGTTGTCAGATAAGGTCATTTCTACCTTTATATCATCTTTCATGTATGACTCTTTCTCATCACTCACACAGCCATCACCCTGGTATCTCCATCATCTTTCACTTGGACCATTATAATGGCCTTGTAATTTGCCTCCCTGCCTCAAATCTCTCCTCACTCTCATCTATTCTCCACCCAATTGCTAAAGTGATTTTTCTAAAACTCAAATCTGATCACATCATCTTCCTACTCGATAAATTCCAGCGGCTCCCTATTACCTATGGAATCAAATACAAAACCTTCCATTTGGCATTTAAAATCCTTCGTGATCCAGCCCCTTCCACCCTTTCTAGCCATCTTACATTTCATTCACCTTCTTGCTCACTGGCCTACACAAACACAACACTCAACTCTCAACTCCATGCCTTTGACCTCAATGTCTCACATTGTTGATTCTCCATCCTCCTCACTTCCCTGGCTTGCTTTAAGAGTCTGCTCAGATCCCACCTTCTGCAAGAGGCCTTTCCTAGTCTTCCCCTCCCCAGATTCCCTTTGAAATCACCTTCCTATATCTGTCTATCTATCTATCTATCTATCTATCTATCTACCTATCTATCTATCTATATATAGATAGATAGATAGATAGATATACAGATATATATATTCCTATATATCTTGTATGTACACAACTATTTGCTTGTTTTTCCCTATTAGATTGTGAGTTCTGTGAGGACGAGGACTGTTTTTGCCTTTCTTTCTATCCCTGGGGCCTGGTGCTTAGTAGGTGCTTTATAAATATTTGTTGACTTGACTGTGCTGGAAGACTTCCACAGTAAGTGGATCCCACCACTTCTTGAGGCAGCTGATTCCCCTTTTGGACAACTCTAATTGTTAGTAAGTTTGTACAGACATAGAGCCTAAATGACCTCTTTGTAACTTCTACTGCTCCTAGTTCTATCCTCGGGGGAAGAATCCTTTTTCCACATGGCATCCTCAATCAATGATTTTGATGGATTACCTGACTAGCCAGTCAGTCAATAAGCATTTCTTAAACACCTCCTAATTGTTAGGCAAGGTGCTACCCCCTGGGGCACTGTATTATTTCCTAGGGCCCTCATTATGGCCTCTATCTTCATCTTAAATCTAATTCATTTGCAAGTCATGACATTACCTTCCTGATGTCACTGGTCCTTTTAGAGAAGGAAGGACAAACAAAAACAATAACAACAAATCTTCATCCCAAGACAGATAATTAAAATGACTTCATCATACTTTCCCTATTTGGAAAACAAGGGATCCCCTGACTGATATAAACAATAAACAAACAAAAAAACGATAAGCAAACCTGAGATCCAAGTCTAAAAGGTCAAGATTACACATGCACACAGACTATCCATTTATGATTTCCTTTCCTCTTTAAGGCTCTCCCCAAGTTCTTTCCATCCCTCTCCCCTACACTTGTTTCAAAATACTGGAGAACCGAGTGATTTGGGCTGTCCAGAAGCCATGTCCTTGCTCACCTTTAACCCACTCATACTTACAAAGGTAGTAGTACTGTTCTCCGTAGCTATCCTTTGTCTCCTGGGGCAGCCGCTCCCATAGGTGTCGCATGCGTTGTTCGATGTCCTCCTTGCCCAAAATGGAGGTCCGGTAGTTTCCAGGCTCAATGATGCAGACCTTCACTCCAAAATAATAGAGCTCCCTCCTAGTAGGAAAGTTATGAACTTAGCTCAATATGGCTCCAGTTCCAAAGACTTTCTAGATTTTAGCAGGGACAATTGTGTGTGGGAGGGGGGTGTCAGCTCATCTACACCCTGATACCCATGTTCTCCAACCAGTTGAAATTTGTACCTGGGGAACTTCCTAAAACACACACACACACACACACACACACACACACACACACACACACACACACGATAAAATTCATGCAAATGACTTTCAGTGCTTAACCACTACTAGCAATTACAAGGGCAGGACCTTCAGGAATAAGAATTAGTTACTACATCCCAGCCACCCACTCTTGAACCTCCTACATCCAACTTCCTTCCAGTTTGAGGGTTTAGAAAAGGATGACTGTGAAAAGAAATAGAATTGTGGGAGTATAGTTTCTTCCTTGAGTATATAGGTCCTTGAGGGCATAAGGTCTTCAGAGACCTTCTGTTCTAGCTTCCTCCCCTTCTAGCCATCTGCCATGATGCCAGGGCTTAGCCAGCACAGGCATCTTCATATCTGCCCCTCAGCTTCATGCCATGGTGCCCCCTACTCTCCGGCACTTTATCTCTTTCTCAGGGAATAGTAACCAAATCAATATTGCCATTGCTACTGGAAAATACTTGAAAAATTATTGCCCTGCGGTTCCACTCAGAACCCTGTGACCTGCCTAATTCCTTTCCCTGGCCATCATATGTATTGTATTGTGCTTATAGAATGTGTGCTCCTTGAAGGCAAGGACTGTTCCATTTTTATCTTTATATCACCAGCATCTGGCACTAAGTAGTCACTAAAACACTGCCTGCTAACTGATTGAAGCTTGATCTTTTCAATATGGTGGTTGAGCCTTCTACTAGATGGAGTTCTTTCCCATACTGGGACATCTATGGGGAGGAAGATAATCCAGTTCTGCTCAACTTCATCTCCCCACCCCTGTTCCTGTTTGAACGTTAAAAGATCCCTCAGTGAGGAAGGGATACGGGGTAAAATCTAGGTGATTAAAAAACAAAATAAAATAAGGGCTATCAATAAAGATCTTTTTTTTTTAAAGAAAAGTCCTTCACTAAGGTTAAGCCTTCTCCTTCTGACTTGGTCCTGCACAAGGAGAAAACAATGAGCCATACTCTTCCAGAAATGCCTCTTTCAGAGCTTTCCAGACTGGAACTGAATTCCTCCTCAGTTTGGGGCTGATGACCCCAAAGGGAGCCTTCTTTTTCCCACTTAATGAAAAACAGACTAGGAGATAAAGTGGGCTGGGTAAAAGGAATGGGATCCCCTCACCTGATGCTGTCAGAGAAGGCCTCCACACCAAACTTGGAGACGCAGTAACCACCGCCAATGACTGCCACTCGGCCCCCACTGCTGGACATGTTGATGACTCTGCCCCGGGCCCTCTTGACCATTGGCAGCATGTTCAGGGTCACCTCAATCAGTCCCACCAGGTTCACATTTATCACCTTTACAAAGTCCTCCTTGGTCAGCCACTCATTGGGGCCACTGGGCAGGCCAATTCCAGCATTATTCACCAGACCCCAGAGCCCTGAGGGAAGGGAGAAGTAAAAAGAGAAGAAAAATGTTTGTGAGATATGCCAACAGATCAGTGATTTCATCAGTATAAGGAAATTCTTAGCAATCCATGCCATTACTTAATAGATTAGTCTTAGGGAGGCACCTGTAATGCATAAAAATTCAATTATTTGCCTGCAGTCATACAACTAATGCAAGAGGGAAGATTTGAACCCAGGTCTTCTTGATTCCAAGTCCAGGACTCTATCTACCACACCATATTGCTTCTTAATCCATCATAGAATTATAATCTGGAGCTGGAAGGGCCCTCCAAGGTCACCTAATCCAACCTCCATATTTTAAATGAGAAAACTGAGGCCTAGGAATTTAAACCCAGATCCCAACTCCAGAGACCATGCTCTTTCTTGTAAATATGAATGTATATGCTAATAAATTAAGAAATATTAATATTTGTTATTAATAAATAATGAACATTAATTTATTAAATTAATTTTAAATATTAATAAAATAATATCTTGTGACACCTTAGCACCCCACAAGAACTCACATTTCTACTACTTTAGCATTACAAAAAACTTCTTCAAACATTATCTTATTTGCCCCTTGCCACAACTCTGTGAGATGAATTGTTAGTCATTTCAGTCTTGTCCAACTCTTCATGACCCCATTTGGGTTTTCATGGCAAAGATACTGGAGTCGTTTGCCATTTCCTTCTCCAGCTCATTTTACAGATGAGGAAACTGAGGCAAACAGGATTAAGTGACTTGCCCAGCACCACACAGCTAGTGTCTGAGATCATCAGGGACATGAGTGTTCCTGATTCCAAGCCCAGTGCTCATTTCATTGCACCACCAAATGCCCTAAGAGGGATAGTACACGAGTACTATGGGCACCCCACTATGAGTGGTTGCCCATCGCTTGGGGAATGGCTGAATAAATTCTGGCATAGGAATGTAATGAAATGCTATTTTGCTGTAAGAAATGATGAAAGGGGCAGTTTTAGAAAACCCTGAATGAACTGTTATAGAGTGAACTGAGGGAAGCAAAGGGAGCAACAACATGGCAGTGGATACAGCACCGGCCCTGGAGTCAGAAGACCTGAATTTAAGTCCCGCCTCAAACACTTACTAGCTGTGTGGCCCTGGGCAAGTCACTTAACTGCTTCCTAAAAACCAAACCAAACCAAAAAACCCCCAATAACAACAATACTGTTAAGACCGACAACTTTGGGAGACTTAAGAACTCAAATTAATGCAATGAACCACCATAATTCTAGAAGACTGATGAGAAACCATCCTGCCTACATCCTGACATAGAAGTGAAGGGCTCAGACAGCAGAATGAGACACCTACTTTTCGGACATGGCCGATGTGGGAATTTGTTTTGCTTGACTGTGCATATTTGCTATAAGGATTTTATTTTATTTTATTTTTTGCTGTTTTAATGGAAGGAGGAAGGAAATAATTTTTTTTAAATCTCAAGATAAATTTTAAAAATTGAAGCAATGGAGTCTAAGCAAGCTTTACAGTATAGTGGAAAGAGGACTCAACTTAGTGTCAGAAGATACAAGTTCGAATCTTGACTTTCCCACATCTTGGCTGTCTGACCAGCAAGTCAGCTAACTTCTCTGTGTCTGTTTCCTCATCAATAAAATGAAAAAATTTTAAAATTCATTTATCTCATGATACAAATTTATATTATCTAACTGGTTATTATAAGGAAAGTTCTTTATTAAGTACTCTAAAAGGGTGGATTATTATTACTGTTATTGCAGAGATACCAGGACTTTGGGACTGGCCTTTACACCAAGCCAAAGGCCACAGGTTTGTTGCAGGGTAGGAAGGAAATGGGCCAAAGGTCTCCAACCTTTTTCATGCTTTTCCACCCAGCTCCACCCCTGTTATTGGCATCAAACCCACTGAGACATAGTGGGACATTGAAAGTCAAATGTTGATTTTGCCACATTATTTAAATGATTGTCTAGCTATTCTTGGGTAGCTGGGTTCTTGAGGTTCGTCAATCAGCAAACATTTATTCATAATAATAACTAGCACTTTGAGGTTTGTAAAAGTATTTCTAAAAGTCCCCCTATGCTCACAATAACCCTGGGAGTTCCATGCCATCGTTATGCCCATTTTACAGATGAGGAAACTGAGGCCAAGAACAGTTCAATGGCTTGCTCGAGGTTCCACAGCTAGCAAGTGCCTGTGGCTGGATTTGAACTCAGGTCCGTCCGGACTCCAAGTCAGACACTTTAGCCCACTGCATCACCTTTACTTCAGTACTTAGTGCATGTCAGATGTGGTAGGCCCTTGAGACTAAAAAGGCAAAAAGGAAAGAGTCCCTGGCCTCTAGAGGTTTCTATTCCATTGGGAGGAAGTTGCAGACTAGTAGGGCCCAAGCCAAGCTATGGTAGTTCCAAGACAGTTCATGTGTGGGCATGGTGCTGGATTCTAACCAGCCTTGATAAGTTAGAAGAGCCTTTATCACCAGCTGGGCAGCAGAGGGATGACTCATGGTGGCCACAGCCCGGAGGGGTTTCAGATTACATAGGTGATATCCACCACAGAGGGAATATCTACAAAGAAAATATTTGTAATATTAAAATATTACAAAAGTAATGTGATAAAATTGTGGATTCTTATGAAATGGCCCACAGATAATAACAGTCAGATGCATAGACTATTAGAGCTAAAATAGAGCTAATCTAGCTCTCTTCTTTTACAGATAAGGCAACTGAGCCCTAAAGAGGGAAATGACTTGTTCAGGATCACATTTAGCAGAACCAAGATTAAACTCTAGGTCTCTTATTGTTGTTTACTTGTATCTGACTCTTCATGACCCCATTTAGGGTTTTCTTGGCAAAGATACTGGAGTGGTTTGCCATTTCCTTTTCCAGCTCATTTTACAGATGAGGAAATTGAGGCAAACAGGGTTAAGTAACTTGCCTAGGGTCACACAGCTACTAAGTGTCCGAGGCCAGATTTGAACTCAGGTCTTCCTGACTCCATCCACACCTGTAATCTATGTATCTACTATGGTGCCACTTAGCTGTTCATTACCACCTGATTGTTCATTAGGTGTCTGTGGATTCTCAGTTCAGTGCTCCCAGACTGCCAGTATGAGTTGGGGCTCAAACGTTGGTCTCCTCACTTGAATCTACCATTCTTATTCATTACAAAGAACACTCACTTTGGAGTCAGAGGATATGCGTTTGGAGATCCAAGCTCTACCACTTACTACCTATGTGACTTTGAATAAATCATTTACCCTCTCTGGGCCTCCATTTCCTTATCTGTAAAATAAGAGGAGAGCCTTCTAGCTCTAAATCTATGGTGTGCTCATCTCCTTTCACCTCAGTTTCCATTTGCTCCTGACCTTGCACCTGTAGGAAAATGAATGAGGCCAGCATCTCCCACTTGGCTACTAAAACCTCATTCCACCTATTGAGGAGAAGATAGTCTATGTCTGGGGGACATAGTGGTGTTCCCACTTAGAATGATTTCTACTGTCTCTACTGGTTAGGTGGAGAGGTGGCTAAGACTCCTCCTTTGTCCCTTTAAGGATGCAGACATCATCATTATTGCTAATGTTAATGACAACAATAGTCTTAATGAGAGACTGTGGCAAAGTTGAATAGACAACTGATCTTGGAGTCAAGAAGACTCTGGCCCATACTGGCTCTGCGACCTCAGGCAAGTCACTTAATGTCCCAGTGTCCCAGACAATTTTCTAAGACTCTTGAGTTTCAGAGTAGGTGCAGGTCTGCTTTGGGAGAAGACAGTTCCTCACTGGAAATCCTTTGCATCAACAAAGTCATAGGCAAAACCAAAACAATTTATACTAAAAATACACTTCTGTTGTTGTTCAATCATGTCTTCATGGACCCCATGAACCATACTGTCCGTGAGGTTTTCTTGGCAAAGATACTGAAGTATCCATTTTCTTCGCTGGGGGATTAAGGCAAATAGACATTAAATGACTTGCCTAGGGTCACACAGCTAGTGAGTATCTGAGGCTAGATTTAAACTCAGGTCTTCCTGACTCTAGGCCCAGTGCGCTATCCACTGAGCCACCTAACTGCCTCTAAAAAAAAAATCCATTTTAGGTAATGCCTTAACATTTACAAAATGCTTTCCTCACAACCTTGTGAGGTCAACAGCACAAGGAAGGCAATCCTTACTTTACAGATAAGGAAACTGGAGCTTTGAGAGGTGAGTTAGCTTGTCTGTGATCATATAGTTAATAGGGGCGATGCCTGTTCCCACGCAAACTTCCTTTCTCCCACCCTACCTCAGCCCTGGCACATGCCTCTCTCTTTGGAGACCCCTCTGCCCATAAGAGTCCCCCAAGGGGAAGAGTCCTGGAAAGACCAGACTGGTAGAGCTGACTACATTTCTTCTGGCTGGTTTATTTCAGGGTCATAGGGATACAGGCACAAGATAGCTGCCATTACTCAGCTACAGTCTCCTAATCCCTGGGGGCTATCACCAGCAGGACTCTATTCTCCCCTGCACTGATAAGGAGAAAGCAGAGTGAGACGCAAGAGCTAGATAACATGACCCAGACTTGACAGAGTTAATCTTTACCACAAGCGCCAGGAGGCAGGGTGGGAACAGGGTGATGAGACCTTATGCAATCTGAGGGAGGCAGAGGAAGGAAAAAGAGGTTTGTCCAGGCATGAGTCACAAGCAGAGGTAGGAGCAGCACCCAGAAATCCCGGCTTCCATGGCCTGCTGATTGGTCATCTGATCTGGCGCTAACCACCAGCAGAGACGTGTGTGCACAGGTCGATGCCAGCACCTCGGAGGAGCAAGGATGAGGTCATGACACATGGCAAACTCCCCCCTTAGCCTCTCGGCTTTCGAGACTCGGACAGTTGTCATCCCTCCCTCTGCCTCCATACACTCCCTTCTTGGGCAGCTCAGACCTGGTACTAGCCTCCCTGCTTCCTCCTTGTTACCACCCTGGGACAGGAAGGAAAGCAGGAAAGAAATATGCCTTTATTAAGAGGCTGCCATGCACCAAGCACTGGGCTAAGCCCTTTATAAATGTCATTTCCTTTGATCCTCACAACAACTCGGGGAGGTAGATGCTATTCTGACGTCCATTTTACAGTTGAGGAAACTGAGGCATATAAAAGTTAAGTGACTTGCCCAGGGTCACCCAGCTAGTAAGTGTCTGAGGTTGGATTTGAACTGAGATTTTCCTGACTCCAAACCCAGAGCTCTATCCGCTGCCCTCAATACTAAGACACTTAACTTCTAAGGCTGGCCAAGCATCGGTTCCCTTTGATCTACATACAAGACAAGGCTTTCCTTCTCTCTTCTGTATAGATAGAAAGTAACAAAACTCCTCTACCTATCAGCCCTCTCATCTGAGGCACATAGAACTCACCTCTCTGACTGCTGCTTAGCCCCACCAGAAAAAGAATTATGTTTTCCATTGTAGTAAGAAAGACAGGGATTAGCCACCAGGAAGAATTTCATGATAAGTCTGTCAGAGTGTCAGAGAGGCACCATCTTTAAGTGACAAGATGGAGAGAATACCGGTTCAGAAACTTACAAGGATGTGACTTGGATAAGACCCTTCAACTCTTTGGGCCTCAATGTCCTTATTTGTAAAATGAGGTGGTAGGATATGACCTCTAGGGTCCTTTCCAGCTCTGATTCTAGAATCAGCCCTGCTTCACACAGCACCTCTCTTACTTCCTGCTGGCATGAGTGAACCAGAACCCAGCCAAAAGCACGGGGAAAGGTGGTTTGTTCTCTCTAGATCCCCCACTGATTCTTCTACCAAGAACATAACTAAAACACTATATCCCTTAAAAAACCAGCCCCTTGAGAGCTCTAGAAATATTTCTATCAGACCCAAAGTTTGAAAATCCATACTGATTCTGCCCTTCACTTGATGACCCTGCCTTTTCCGTCAGAGCTGCTAAAAGGATTCCTAATGTGAGGAAGGGGGTTGAGGGGGTGGAGAGGAGAGAGGAGGGAAAAAGAGGAAGGAAGGAAAGAATAAATCAGAGAAGTCGGATTGCTCCACACCTCGATCTCCCACTTGGGCGTTCACCCACTGGGCTGCTGCCTTGATGCTCTCTGTCTTGGTGACGTCCAAAAAGGTGATCTGTAGCCGGGGGGAGCATGCCCTTCGGAGTTCCTGGGCTCCCTCCTCAGTGAAGCAGGTAGCCAGCACCCGCATCCCTCGCTTGTCCAGTTTCCGAGCCAGAAGGTTCCCGAAGCCAGAGTCACAGCCAGTGATGAATACATACTTGTCAGAGAGGTTTGGGACCAGATTTAAGTTCTTTAACCATCGGTACACGAAAGAGATGTCCATGATGCCACCCATGGTGTCAGGGTTCAGGGGAGAGGGAACCCCAGGGTCTGAGATAACTGGAGGTTCTGGCCCAGGGAGGTTCACCCCAGGCTTTCTGGAACTCACCAAGGAGACAAAAAATTACCCTTCCTTTCAACTCCTTGCAACAGATACTATTGGGCAGGCCCCAAACATGGTTTTTTTTTTTTTTATAGGCGGGTACCATTGACAATTAACTTTGATGCAAGAAATTCAAGTCTGACCTGAAACCCTGTCACCTCTAATGGCAGCTCCCTCCTTATCTCCCCATTCCTGATGCTGGTGGCTGCTGTTTTTGAAAATCCTTGGGACATTAGTGGTGACAGACAGTTTGGGTTAGGTCGTGAATGTGTGGGCTCTCTACCCTTATGGAGTGACTAGGGCAAAAGTGTGCTTTCAGACTGTCTGCCATGTACAGTTGGCCTACACCACTTGGCACAAGTTCAGTGGCATCATTATGAGCAAGGAATTACGAAGGTAAATTTACTAGTGAAAAGAAGATTCAAATTGTACATCCCAAGTTCCAGTTGAAGGTATTTTTGGATCATTTACTCTCTGGGCTTATCTATGCTTTAGCTCTCCTCCATCACAAAATAATGGAGAACTAATTGTGTTTGTGCCATTCTGGTTCACTCTTCTGGTCCAATTGGAAATAGAAGATGTGGGGCTGACGGATAAGGGTTCATCCTGATTGGGGGCAATTGACCTTGTTCCTGTTAAAGGGAAATGAGCTAATGACAAAACATGGGGTGTCAGTGGGCCTGTATTAGGTCTCTGCAGCCACACTCTGGATAGGCTAAGGCTCTCCAAGGAGAACAAGGAGAATTATTTTCCAGGGACTCAGGCCCTTTCTTCATTACTTTGGAGTAGTCTTTGTCCTTGTCAGTAAAGGATATTTGCATGTAGTTGGTTGTTAAATAGTAGTAGAGGTTGTTATATAGATAGATAGACAGATAGATATAGATATAGATATATAGTATATATAGATATATATATAGTAGGTTAAATAATTTTTGATTAATGAGTCTAATTAAGGTGGTGGCAAGCAATAGGAAAGAAAGTTGGAATCTGCGACTAATTGAGTATGGTAGGGAGGAGTGGGGAAGGGAAGTTAGGGAAAAGAAAGAGTCGAAAGTGACTCAGATTTCTAGCCTAGGTGACAGGGAGAAGGATAGCCCACTAACAAAAAGAGGGAAATCAGGAAGGGAGCCCCATTAGGGGAAGATAATAATTACAGAATCAGAGAGTCAGAAGGGGACTCAGTGGCCATATAATTCAACATACAGGTGAATAAGTCTTCCCTACAACATAACTAGCAAGTGGTTATCAGCCATCCAGCCTTCCAAAGGCAGCACATTCCATTTTTGCCTAGCTCTGATTGTTAGGAAGTTTTTCTTTACATCAAGTCCAAAGCACAAGCATTTATTAGGCAGGTGTATGGGGTGTTCAGGTAGGACTTTTATAGCTGTGGTGTGAGGGTTTGCTGAGCCCTTATGCACCTTTGGTGTCCACCTCTCACTCAATTCTCACCTATAACTCCAAGAGCAGCAGCCACATCCTGGTAAAACTGTCATGGCAGATGGGCTAAACCAGGTTGAGGGTAACCAACAGGCCTCAAAGCCATTGGTGAGGTAAGGGGATGTCTACTCCAAGCATGTGAAGAACTCCCCCAGGAAATGGGTAGATGGGAACAATTTGTTCCAACTGCCCTGAAAGTGACTGAAGCAGGAGTGCTGAGAGCTTGGTCTGGTGTCAAAAGATATCAAGGTCATCCACTGCACCCTGGGCCCTTGCTAATCTCTTGACTTTTTTCCTGCCACCAGACTTTGATGCCTCTGATGACCCCAGGAGATTAGCCTAATTCAGACCCAAACCAGAACCCCTGCCATCCACGAGCTTACTTTAGGGGGGAAGATGGACAACATGTGAAAACTCAGTTATGTACAACTTATGTATAATTGGGTAGGTGATTTGGGGGTAATTCTCCCTCCTGGCATACCTACTTCTTGTCCTCAGGTTTACCTTGTGGCTATGACAAGTGCTTTTTGGAGGGTAGGCTCTAAGAGCTAGGCAGTGACTGATAATTAAGGATCCTGCCTCCCCCCCTTTTTATTTTGGGTGGGACAGAGTGAGCTGCACAGGATGAGCAGGTATGGATGGATCGCAATCTGCATGACAGATCTCATTACATTATCTTTCCTCCTAAACTTACCACTCTTCCAAACTTCCAGATTACTATAAAGGATAGCACCATCCTTCTAGTCACACGGGTTCACAAGCTCAGTGTTATCTTCCACTCTGCTCTCTCACCCCACCCACCCTACAAGCAATTGTGAAGTCTCGTCTGGTCTTCCTACACTTCATCTCTCATGTCTATCTCCTTCTCTCTACTTGCAAGCATACTTCCCTAGTTCAGGCCCTTGTCATATCTTGTGGCAACCATTTCAATAGCTTCCTAATTGTTCTCCTTGCTTCAAATTTCTCACCTGTTCAATCCATCCTCCATACAGCAGCCAAGTGTTTTTTGGTTTTGTTTTTTTGCGAGGCAATCAGGGTTAAGTGACTTGTCCAGGGTCACATAGCTGGCAAGTATCATGTATCTAAAGTCGGATTTGAACTCAGGTCCTCCTGATTCCAGGATCAGTGCTGTATCCACCGCAGCACCTAGCTGCCTCTCCAAGTGATTTTTCTAAAGTCTGATCACGTCACTTGTCTCTTCTCAATAAACTCCAATGACTTCCAATCAATTCCAGAGCAAATATTACTTTGTCTATAATTCATCCTTTAAGCTAGATGTGGAAGTGGATAGAGCGCTGGCCTTGGATCTAAGTTCAAATCTAGCCTCAGATACTTATTAGCTGTGTGACCCTGGGAAAGTAATTTAATCCTATTTGTCTCAGTTTCCCCATCTAGAAGGAAATAGCAAAGCACTCCAGTATTTTTGCCAGGAAAACCCCAAATGAGATCATGGAAAATAAGACACAACTGAAATGATTCAACAACAACATTCCCTTAAAAATTTCAATTTTGGAGACAGCTAGGTGGCCCTGAAGTCAGGAGGACCTGAGTTCAAATCCCTCCTCAGACCAAACACTTAACACTTACCAGCTGTGTGACCCTGGGCAAGTCACTTAACCCCAATTGCCTTAATAAAAACAGATAAATTTTTTTAAAAGAGGGTATATTAAATTTAATATAGTATTTCTACCACCACCATGCCTGTTTGGGTGCCCTACTGAATCCCCCTTTGGTGGATTTTAAACTTTCGTTCTTTCTTTTTTTTTTTTTTGTATCACAATCATCATCCACCCCAGACTGTCTCTCCCATAAGACTTCTCCACCCTTTACAAGTAAAATACATTAGAACTTTTCATAATAACCCTAGTTAACCAAAACAAATTCATACACTGACTGCGTCTGAAAACATATCTTATTCCGCACCCCTAGTCTATCACCTGTCTGCCAAGAGGTGACATCAGTCTTCTAGAGTCATAAATGATCATTGCATTGATCAGATTTCTTAAGTCTTTCACAATTGTTTTCCTTTCTAATATAAATTGTCCTCCCTGTTCTCTTTATTTTTACATTTTTATCTGTTCATGAGTCCTTCCAGGTTTCTCTGAATCCATCCCTTTCATCATTTCTTACAACACAATATTTCATTATATGCATATACCATAATTTACTCATTCATTTACCAATTGATTAGCTTCTACTTCATTTCTTGTTCTTTGCTACAACAAAAGTATTACTATAACAATTTTTGTATGCATGAGTGCTTTTCTTTTTTTTCTCACATTGGAGTATCTGCCTAAAAGTATCATTGCTGAGTCAAAGGGTAGGCAGAGTTCAGCCACCTTTGGGGTATAATTCCAAATTGCTTTCCACCAGCATTGCATTGATGTGCCTTAGTTCTCACAGCCCCTCCAACAATAGTCATTTTCCTGTTTTGTCATTTTGCCAGTCTGATATATATTACATAGAACCTTAGAACTGTTTAAATTTGAATTTCTATTATCATGATTATAATTGGATTGGATCAATTTTCATGTGATTGTTGATGCTTTTTCTTTTGAGAAATGGCTATTCATATTCTTTGAGCATTTATGTATTAGAAAAAGGCTATCGTTCCTGTACTTCTATGTCAGTTCTCAATGTATCTTGGAATCAGACCTTTATCAGGTAATTTACAGTAATTTTCTCCCCAGTTAACAGGTGGCTCATATGGCTGAACTAGTGGTGAGCAAGTCTTGTACATTTCTCTTTTGAATCAATCAACCTCTGGCTTTAGAAAATCCTCCATCAGTTTAAATGTTTTTGAAGGCAATTGTGTGAACTGGAGCGATGCAGTAGAAAGTCTGTTGAAACTGATTGAGCGATTTGGTTGTGCCCTGTGGGTTTTGTATAATAAAACCATTTATCTATCAGAAAATGGCTATTGTCCTTGTGCATTTATATCAATTCCAGATATATCTTGGAATCAGACTTTTATCAGATAATTTACAGCAATTTTTCCCCAGTTACCAGTTTTTCCTCTTTTTTTGTGAAAAAAGAAATCAATTTTAGATAATCAAAATTGTCCATCTTATCTCCTGGGATTTTCCTTGTTTGAGCAAGCTCTCTTCTACTATCTGAAGTTGTGAAAAGTATCTTCTTCCTTGCTCCTACTTAGTTTATGATATAACCTTTTGTATCCAGGTTCTGCATCCATTTGGAGCTTATGCTGGTATATTGTGTGAAATGTTGGCCTAGACCAGTTTCTGCCAGACGGCTTTCCAGTTTCCCAGAAGGTTTTGTCAAATAATAATTCTTTACCTGATGAGTTTTAATAAAGTCTTGTTATCTGACTGATTGAATAACTGACTAGTTGGAATCTCTGTTTTTATCATATACTTTTACTACTATGTTTGACCTGGGCCCTTATATAATTAATCTCTTCCACTGATCTCTTCCATTTTTAAATTTTTTTAACCAGCACCAGAGAGTTAACGATT